ACAACGTTTTATTGAATGATGATTCATGTGAAGGACATTACTGTAAAACATTAGCCGACTTTTACCTTAGTTGTATTGTACATTAATGTTTCTTTTTGTCTAAATAATGGTAAAAGAATAGGTCAGATAAATGTGTGCTATTTAGTAAATGATCTATATTTTTATTGCAATTTTCAATGATAGCGTCACAATTAGATATTTCCAGAAACTTTGCAGTTGTAGCTGGAGATAAAAACAGGTAAAGAAAACTTAGTAGAAGCGCTTAGTACAGATGTTTTACCCGCAAGCATGCCATAAGCATACAGCCAGAGCCTACAATAAAATGGTTCAAATATGAGCAAATTCATCACTTATAACTGTCCAGTCAAATTTCTGCTGTAAATCTAGATTAGGATGTGTATGAAGATATGAATACGATGTTCAAAGCTTTTATGTGGTCTGACTGAGCCATTTTGTGAAGATGAATAGATAAAAAATGTCTCCAAGCTGGTAAATACTGATCTGTGATGTTATTCTGTTAAAATGTTATACTGAGTATGAGGAGATGATTATAAATAAACATCACAGTTTATAGGTTTTGTTTTCAAGAAGAATTAACATTGCAAGTCATTGTGAATGTTGTTTATGTCTGTATAAGATGTGCGAGATGAATACAATTTAAGCCAGCACTAAAAAAGGACATTAGCAGCAAAAATGCCAAAATGATCTAGATAAAGAAAAAACATGCTCAAATATGTCCTCAGTGAATCCATCTGTTTATATCTCAAAAACAATCAGAATGTGCCAAAGATTTGATCTGTGTGCCAGATGAAGGAGGAGTTAAGCAAAACAGAGATAAATATGTACAAAGAGCTAATAAGTCCAAATAAAGGCATGTTGGTGAGCAAGAGAGAGAGAAATAAGTAGTTATGGTAAAATGAGGAGTAATAAGAAGAAGAAACAGAAGGATGGAGAAACTGCCTGCAGATATTCTTAAAGAGAGAAAAATGGTACCGCTCTGACGCTGGCTTTTATTTTATAATAAAACAGAACAGGGAACAGGGAGTGTTT